AACTCTTTTTAGGGATGGGGATTTTTTGAAGTTAAAATTCCACATTCAGGGCGCTCCTATCCCACAGCTGCTTCCCTGTTCCCTCCAACAATGGAGTTTTGYTTGGGAATCTTCATGCTTACTCAATCCTTCCAACCCCAAAAGCAACCCCACTCACTCCTTGAAATGGAGAGGGATCCGCGGTGTTTGGAAAACAATAGGATTCCTGACAGCTTTTCCATAACGTCCGTGTTTTGTTATTGCTTGGGAGACGGGAGGGAATTGAACCCGGAACAAGATGGAGTTTGACAGTTCTGGCTCTGGGAGCTCTTTCTGGCAYGGAATTTTTCCTGGAGGTGATTCCCAGACTGGATAGAGCCAGGTGGCCCCGCCTCACCCAAGGTGAAATGAAAGAAAGGGAATRTTCACAAGGCGGGGAAGCTCCTGGATGTGCAAAACTCCTCAGAAAGGTCCTCGGATCAACCCAGCAGGTGAAATTCAGGGAATTCCGACCATCCTTCCATGGACTCTTTTGGCTGTTTCTCACCTCCACCTTCAGCCTCGCTGGAGGTCTCCTGGCCACCTGGAAGGGTGGAATTCACCCAGGATCTAAGCTGGGAATCCCTCATGGATGTACTTCCTAACCCAATGTGACACAGAACCCTTTGCTGCTGATTCTGGGTGGAGCGTTGGCTTTGAGGGATTCCAGCTTTGGAATTTACCAGCTCCCTCCAAAAGCAACCGAGTTCCTGCCAGAAGGAAGTTAATTCTCCCTTTCCAGCAGATTTCCAACACTTTGTAGATTATTTTTCTCCCAGCTCTTTTCATCCCTTTCCCCAAACCTCCACTTTTCTGGGAGAGGCTTTGGAGTGGCCTCATCCGTAACCCGACCTSGCCTCCTGTCACATTTGCGTCACCRGYTCCRGGGGCCRTGCCTGGATCCTGACAACCATTCCCAACTTTAAAWTATGGCTCTGGCAACCCAAGGAAGCCAAAAGACAAATTCCCTGCTGGCTCWGGAGTGTTCCCGCAGGAGAGGGGTCGGGCAACCGGGATTGTCCAAAGCTGCCTGATTTATTCCCACTTTCTCCCATGGGAGCACCAAGCAGCCCAAGAAATGTGGATCCATCTCCAAGAGCCTCCTGTCTCCTCCTGGGATTGGGAAAAACCTACAGGAAACTGCTCCTCATCATCCCGCAGGGCACAGATACTGTGGGATCTTGGATCTTGTGCTTCCCAGGGACTTTCATGGATTCATRAGGTTTGGCAGCTCCAGGATCAGTTCTGAGCTCCCTCCTGGCAAAGGGARGTGTTCCCTGCAGGAAGGGCACAGGAACAGCAGTGGGGTGGAGCAGAGGGAATTAYAGYTCCTAAGAAATAAGCAGGGARTATTTTAGGGCCRCTTCCCWAGGTTTAGGAATCCAACACCACCCRTCAATCCCTCCCAGCTTCTCTTCCTCGCTCCTTCCGGTGGCATCCGCRAGTTTGGGAGCGCGAGGGGCTCCAGCCAGCCCCGAAATGAAAAGCGTAAATATGGAATATTAGAACCAGACCTGCTCCGGAGAGGAACTTTGACATCGCCACAAATCTGAAGAAGAAAGGGAAAACTCTGGCACAGAAGTYCCAGATGACATCATTTTCTGGGAACACCGTGCCAAAACAGGGCTATCTCCGGGAGTGAAAGCTTCGCTTGTCCTTGCCAGGTCCATATAACTTTGGGATTTAAAGGATTTTCATATTCCTGCTGCAGGAGAAGGGATGGAAAGGAGGAGGGGGGTTTTCCCATGGGAATGATTAAATTCCTATCTGTAACAGCAAGGAAGAAAAGGTTTGTCAGCCTTGTCATTGATCTTGCTTCCCAATTTCTCCAAAATCCATTGGAAGTTTCTGCAAGGAGCCCCAAACCCACAGAGCTGCTTGATGGTGGAGTAAAGCCATAATTAGAGCTCAGGGAATTTTTTCCTGCGATTTATCATCCCCAGTTTTCTACAAATTATGGAGAGTTCTGTCAAAACTCCGCCATGGCCGTGCTTCTGAAGCCGGTCAATCCCAGAGAATGGTTGATCCCACACATCYCAGACTGATCCCTGATGCTTTCCCTCAGAACCTTTGCATTCCAAACCTCTCTGAGCACCTCCCARGAATAAAAGCCCCTTCTCCAATCTCTCGCTGGGAAATGAGGAGCTGAAGTGGGATTTTCCTGGGCCATGGGCTGGGAAGGGTTTTGGGAAAGGTTTCCAGTGGTAAAAACCTGCTGGATTCCCCGAAAATGAAAAACTCTCTATTAAGAGGGAATGTTATGAAGTGCCTGWGGGAGCTGGGAATCAAATTCCCATTTCCAAGCGCAACTTAAGGCGTTGTGGGCAGGTTTACAACCCTGCAAACGAGGGGGGGATTTGCAGCTTCTCCGGAGAGCTGGGCATGGATTTTTCTGAGTTCCTGCATGAGGAGGAGGATTTCCATGAGAACACAAAGAATCCAAAGGATTTGCACTGATATAATTCTGGGAATTTTAGATCAGCTGTTTTCCAMCCTGGGCATGTGAGGACCCAGCCCTTGGATCCCAGGATCATCCACATGATGATGAGCCTGGATCTTCCCTGGGCCATCCCTGATCTCCGAGGGGACACCCATTCCAGCTTCTCCAGCCACAACCTGGAGTGAGGAGTGCTGGAATACCAGGAAAGCAGATCTGGTGCTGGTGCCAAACATCTGCGAGCCCCACTCTCCCAGCCCATTTCGAAAGCACAGGGATGGATTTAAGATTCCACACACGCCAGAAAGGAAATCAATCCGGGGTCCACCAGTGAGTCTCCAGTAACATTCCCCATCCTGCTCCGTGCTCTCCGAAGGGTGCTAAAGATATATGGAGCAGGGAGAGCTGATGGAAGCAGTTCCAGCCTCATTTTTTTTCAGGCTGGAAACCCCACTCCATCAGAAGTGTCGTGTTCCCAGGGATGGGATCGATTTTGACAGGCCCGTGGCTGCGCAAGTGTCAGAGCTGATTGCTTCCACCCCCTTGCTTTGTTCCCGTCAATTCCAAAAGTTCTGCTCCCATCAAGTCCAATTTTCCTTGGATTCTGTCAGGCTGCCTSTGCAGCAGGAGCGTGCTGGGAGCCGAGGCAGAGCACCACCTCACCTCACCCTGCCTAAAAACCAGATTATATTTATTTTGGGATTTTTTGGAGTCTCTGCTCCCAGCTGTTTTCCATGAGCTGAGGCACATGGGGAGGGCGCTGAGCTCCCCCAGGCATTTTCCCCATGCTCCCATGGGAATACAGTCCCAAGAGTATTTTCCCACCCAGCAAATCTTGTCCTTTCCCCTCCTTCCTGGGGACACCAAGCCATGATGTCCTGGACGCCCCTAACAGGTGACAGCGGGTTTGGGATCACCGAGTTTGGCTTCTTGGTGGCTCTGCCTGCTCAGGATCTGCTGGGCACACGGAAATATTTTGTGGCTGTTTAATGAGAAAATCCCTTCTCCCCTGGAGATCATGAAAATGGCATTTTTAATCACACCCAGGAAGTGTCCGGGAATGGCCATATTTGCCCTGGGGCTATGGGGAATGCTCAGCATCCAAATGTTTTTCCAGGTTTTTGACAGGTCCGTGGCAGCCTTGGAAGGGAATAACTCAGGTGCTCGTGCACTGTCCCAGCAGAACACGAATGGAAAGGATCTGATCCAGCACTGGTGCCTTGCTCATTCCAGATCTCCCAGTCCCATATCCACAGGGAAATCCCTGCCTGGGATGCKGGAATGAGGAGTCCCCAGCGGGTGCTGAGAACCGGCACACACCAAACAACAAACACCTCACTTTAAGGCTTTTGTTGTCCCTCATCATTCCCAAAGCTGCTCTTCCACACGCTGGAATGCGGCTTTCAATGGATAAACCCGGCAAGGGACCGGCCAGGACCACTCCTCCTCTGGTTCAGGTGACTTCTYCATCCTCACATCCTTAAAATCCACTCAGCCACAGTCGGGCTGCAGGTCCTGCCCTGGGACCGTGCTCTCACCTCCTTAAAATTCCCAACTTTCCCTCCCGAGCTGTACAGTTGGATGCAAAGCCCGGCTTTGCCCGGAGGCTTCGCGGCAGCAGAGGCAGAACCGAACGCAGAGGTTGGAGACAAAATAATTTCCTGGGGTGGGATGTGCTTGGCATCTCCCTCCCTCCATCCCTCCCTCCCTTCCTGCCTCCCTCCCTCCCAGCGAGACGCCCTCTCCGCAGCAATCCAGGCGTGTTTTCTCCTGCCAGGATATTCCCTCCCTGCCCCGCTGCAGGACCTGCCCCTTCCCACACAATGAAGGGACCGACGCCAGCGGCGGCGGCTGGCGGAGCCGGGAATGCGAAACCCCATCCCGAGCGCATCTCAGCCGGCTGCCCAGGAAGGGGGGGACACGGGGACAGTCCCCTGTGGGTGGGCAGCCCCCCGGGGCCAGGTGAGGTGGGGATGAGGTGTCCACGGAGCCCCTGGATGCGGGAGAATCCCAGGAGGAAGCGCAGCGAGCGGGACTGCGATGGGCTTGCGCAGGGCTGGGAGCGATTCCAAGGGATCCCACCGAGCCCTCCCGCTTCCGGAGACCCCTGGAGAAGGGATGGCGCTCACCCTGAGGGAGGGAGGCCACCGCAGTGTGCCCACGGTTGTCACTTTTTATTAAGATCCCTTATTATAAAAATATCCCATAAAACRTCGTGGCACTTTGGGTCCATTTCCATCGCTGGGCAGAGGCTCTGGAAAGGGGCTGGAGAAAGGGCTCCAGCACGGATGGATGCTCCATGGGGAAGCCAGGAATTGCTCCCCTGGGCTGGGACAGAGCCGGGAATTGCTTCCCTAGGCTGGGACATGCTCCCGGCAGCGCCTGGGGACGAAGGGAATCGCTGCATCCAACAGTCCTCGGGAAAATTGGGAAGGAGAAGGGAAAACTGAAAGCAAGGGGATAAAAAATAAAATAAAACAAAAYAAAATAAAATAAAATTTAAAAAAAAATAAAACATAACAAARAAAGAAGGTTGAGTCTCTTCTGTTATCCCTTTCTGATCGACGGAGGCAAAGTGTCCCTCCGGGAATGTCCTGCCGGGGATTTGCCATGGCAGAAAGTCACCTGTCACCKCTCAGGCTGTCCCCTTGTCCCCACTCTGGGCTTCAGTCCCGGGCTGCAGGTGCTGATTCCAAGATCCCAAGCTTTTCCTGGCCAGCTGCTCCGCGGCTCTAGGACGAGGAGGTCGGGATGGAAATTCCATGGATGGCGCTCAGAGGCTGCGGAGCTTTTCCCACGGGGCTGGGGGGTTTTCTGTCCACCCCTACAGGAACGGGGGAGAGGGAAAAGGACAGACGTGGCAGGGGATGGAGGGACTCTGAGCACGGGGACACCCCAAAAACCGCAAATTCCCCCCCGCACGGACTTCGATCACGGGGACACCCCAAAAACCGCCCCCAAGAGCCGCTCTGGGTCCCCCCAACAGACACTGTGTCTCCCCCCCACGAGTGACAGGGACAACGCTGATGGCACTGCCAAGGTCCTGGAGTTACCTGGACAGGTGACCCCGACCAGTCCCAGCCAYGCACAGAACACATCCTTATAATTCCTTGGATTTGGGGTGTCCTGGGAGGGGACAGTGCCTGGGGCAGGATCCCCCCCATTCCAGGGATGGTGAAATTTTTACTGAGCTTCATCCCAGCCCCAGATCAATACACCGGAATCCCTCCTGCACCCTCGGGGACCGGGATATTTATACCACCGGGATAAGCAGGGAGAGTTTTTAGGGAAAATCCACGAAGTTGGGAATGGGCTGAAATTGCCTGGCTGGATTTGTCTGGTTTTCCTTCCTTCTTTTTATCCTTTTCC